TGATGTTTTATATCTGCACATATATTTTAGGATCAATTCCTAGAAGGAAAATCAAGTATTAATTTTTTCCTTTCTTTCACTTTATCAGCAGGTTCTGTCAGGTCGACCTCCGTTTACTTCTGTCCGTCTCACTGCCCCCCCTCAAGTCCAGGCCACTGTCACTCTCACCTACGCAATTGGTGTCTCCTCTTTTCCATTCTTGCCCTCGGTTTTCCACGCATCGGCTGGAATGATCTTAAAGTGGAAATCAGACATTGTTATTCCCCTGCTAAAGCCTTCAATGGCATCTGAGCGCTCTTAGGATAAAGCCCAAATTAATAACCCAAATTATTAAGGTCCTGCCTCATCTGGCTGTATTCCTAGTTCCCAGCACAGGCCTTTGTGAGCGCACAATAAACATTTGAGTGAATAATAAATGAAATTACCAGATCAAAGGGAATTTTATCAGCTTTTGATACACATTACCAAATTAGCAACAGTGGATGAAAGTGCCAGTTCCCCCACACTCTGGCCAACTCGGCATTATCAGCCTTTTTAATCTTTGCCAATCTGATAGGCAGAAGGTGTTATCGCATTGTTTTAATTTGTATTTCTTTGATTGCTAGTCGAGTTGAACATTCCTCCCCGTGTTTTTGGCCATCTCTTTTTTTGTGTGAGTCACCTGCTCGTGTGCTTTGTCTATTTTCTCAATGGGATGTTGAGGGTTTTTGTAATGATTTATAATATATTAAATAAGTGAGTGCAGATATATTGTCTCAGTTATCTATTGTAGTGTAACAAACACCTCAGAACCTAGTAAAACATGTTTGAGCTGGTCGGGCAGTTCTGCTGGTCTCACCTGGACTCAGACATGTGTTTATTCCTTGGTCAGGTACACGTGGTGTGTCTGTCTGTCACTTAGTAATAGCAGCCTACCGTGAGATCGAGCCCCACTGTGCAAGCGCTTATCAAACCTCTGTGTGCTGTCCCTTTATGTCGTCTTGGCTAAAGCAAGTCACAAGGTCAGTGTGGCAGGAGACGACACAAGGACGGATCTAGAGGTGTGGTTCATTGGGGGCGTGATGCAAAAATCTTGTAAATTTGTCACTTGTTCTTTGTTTGTTTTGGTTTAGAAGTTTTAAAATTTCTTACCAAACCTCTCAGCATTTATGTTTACAGCTCTGCCTTTGGTGTCATACTTTCTCCAACCTAAAATTACACGTGTTCACTTACATTTTCCTTTGTTACTTTTATGGTTTCGTTTATGTTTAAATTTAAGTCACTTGAAATTTATGTTGGAATAAGATGGGAGGTTAGTATTTAAATAGCAAATAGGCATTTGTCCGCATCATTTGTTCAGTAATCCATCCTTTCCTATTGATTGGAAATGCAGCATTCACTGTGCACTGGATTCCCACACTTAGTTCTGTTCCTGGACTTATTAGTTATCTAATTCTGTGCTAGTACCTTGCTCTTTTAATTACTCTAACTTTATAATTTGTTAAACATCTAGTAGGAGAAGTTACTGTTGGTTTTCTTTTTCAAAACTTTATTTGCTATGTCATTTAATATATTCTTTTAGGTTAGTTTTAGAGATGTATGTTCAGTATTTAAAACGTTTATGTTTATACGGAAAAATGGTGACACACGTGCTATTTCCGGCTTTTATTACAAAAGACTTAATACCTGTTTGTTTATCTAGACGTTAGTATGGTAACTCAGCCACAATTTATAAATAGTGTTTCAGAAAGGACAGTCTACCCTGAGAAATTAGTGGATAAAAGCCCATTTCTAAGTTACCTGAAGATAAAAAAATACCAGTTTTTGAATTTTAACATAACTGAAATGGGAAAAAAACACACCACTTTCAAAAAAATTGTATTTCATTGTTAGTTTCATGGAAGTATTTAAAATACACTTACTTCATTGTTTTTAAATATATTTTCATTATTAACTTTTGTGTCCCAAAGAGCTGATAAATTTTCCTCACTGATCCAGAGGTCCCAGTCCTGAAGATCCAACACATGTCTGGCACAGGGTGCAAGTCCCTGGCTATAGATTGCAGTATCTCTAAGCCTAATCTTGGGGTAACCTTTGCTCACGCTGGGTATATACTTAGTGGGCTCGCCAGTTACATACGACAACTTCTAATGTTCTCTGTTTATGTAAAATAAGTAGACAGTTGATAAATATTAGCTATTGTTGCTCATTTAAAGACGGGGCCAGGCTGATTGCTAAGGGCTCCATGTGAGTCACTTCATTTAATGGATTAGACTAAGCCATGAGATTGGTGTCATCACTGCTGTTTTATAGGGGGGAAAGCAAGGCTTAGAATGCTTAAGTGACTTTGCTCAAGTCCCATGGTTGGTAAATGACAGCTGAGGTTCAAATCAAATCCTGTATAATTCCAGAGACCTTGCTCTTAATGCTTTACATGGCCTCTAATTGTTTTACCTTTCAATGTTGCTTCTCAAATTTCGTTTTCCGTCCTTAAGATTCCATCCAGTACTGTCCCAACTCTCCCCTTGGAGTTCGTGTAGGAAGTAATGGGAAATACCGCAGATTGGGCTGGATTGTAGGAGGCTTGGAGTGACAGGTAAATGAATGAAACTCAATGTGCTGCATACTTCTACACACTATTCTTCTAACCCTTACAGCTGCTCTGCAGGGTAGGTATCCTCATTAATGCCCTTGCCGCTGGAGAACACGAGGCTAGTGAGTGATGGAACCTGGACCCGAACCCAGCATTGTCTCACTTGCATACCTGTAAGTGCTTTACCCTACGTCTTTAAATGATCTGAACTTTTCGTGTAGTCTAATAACTTCCAATCTGTGGCCTCTGGAGCCAGCTGTGCCATTGTTTTAAAGAGTACTTGAACCCCTGTGCTCACCAAGCTTTGTCTTTAATCCAAAGATGCCAGCTTTCATATGTGTTATTTTTCCAGGGTATATAGCTGCTGTTATGGTAATGCGCAGATTAATGTAAAAGCTAGTAAATTCAGAGTGCATTTAAATCACATTTTCTCAGACAACGTATGTTAAAAGTAGAAATGAATGAATTTTTAAGGGGCCTTCTCACTTTCCAAAAGGTTGAGAATCACCAGTGTAAATTGATTTTCTTTGTAGTTAATCTATTTCTTAGGTGGGCTTGGCAGCCACTTAACTTTCTCAAAAGAAAGGGGGAAGTCCCAAAACAATGAAAGTATTTAAAGTTATGGCAGGAATCACCGCAAACTTTTTTGTTGTTCCTTAGATGTAGATTTCTGCTTACTAGTTACCTCTACAGGCAATTCATAAAAATAGCTCAAATTTTAAGTGGGAGGAAATTTTAATTGTTAGGAAATTATAGTCCTTGCTTATAAATTATGATTTTTAGAAAATAAGCTGAAAGAATCAAATTATTTCATTTTGGAATTGTGAAACAAAAGACGCGTTTTGCTGTTACCTAGGATTTTTAAAAACAGCAACTCTTGCACATGATGTTTTTGAAAGAAGGGTACCCAAAACTGAGTAACAGTGTTTTGCTAGTACATAAAGAAACATTGAGGGTGGAGGCACAATGGATCATTCAAGTTGTAAATAGGCTGGAATTGGGGCTTGTGATTTTATAGTTTTAGAATTCACGTCACTAGACTTCTGACGTTCGGAGTAGTCTGTGCGAATTTGGTTTTCATCCTTTCGCAGCCCCGAGGGGGTTAACCGTGGCCTGGCAGATCCAGAAAGGGAGTTCTGTGCTGCTTCTCACGGCAGGATCTTGTTGCTATGCAGCAGACATTGTGGGTCAGTATAGGGTGTAGTAAATCGGCATTCTCTGTCCCTTGGCACCGCACGCGCATTTGATAATCCGAGAGGGGTGGTTTCGAGCTATTTTGCAAGGCTTTATTTGAAAACGGGCATTTAAAGATTTTCGTTGCATTTTGTAATTGGCTGCACTTAAGGGTCTGTGAAGCCTTCCTGTTCTGATGTGGAAGGTACACTAAAATGCTGTGCTCAGAGAAAGGGTTTTATAGATCTGTTTCCAAGTTGTTTCAGGTTAGAGCACTAATTTTATTTTGTTATTGTAAGAGGGGTGAGGTTGCCAACTTCCAACAAGTACAGTTTGTCTGAAAATTCAAGTTAAGTAATTTGAACATCAGAGCTTTACCGCAGCACAACATACTGTGAAGATTATTTTTGTAGGAATCCTAAACTTGTGTAGAGCCTTATGTGGAATCTGATAGTTTACTTTCTTCCAGGAGAACTTAAAATGTTTTAATAGCAAATGGGTGATGTATATAACATTAAATTTACCATTTTAACAATTTTTGGGGGGGATTAATCCTCGAGGATATTTTTCCATTGAGTTTTAGAGGGGGGGGAGAGAGACAGACAGACAGACAGACACTGTTGTAAGAGAGACATGTCGATTGGATTGGTTGCCTCCTGCACAAGCCCCGACCAGGGCAGGGGATCGAACCTTCAACTCAGGTACCTGCCCTTGACCGGGAATGGAACCTGAGACCCTTTGGTGTGCAGGGCGACTCTAACCACTGAGCCACACTGGCCAGGGCCATTTAAACCATTTTTAAGTGTCCAGGTCTGTGATATTAAGGACGTTAACATTGTTGTGCATCTATCATCTGTTTATCTCCAGAACTTAAATAGCCTTTAATGCCCATTTGGTAACTTAGTCTAGGCTGTCTTCTAAATGCTTTAGATAAATTAACTCATTTCATCTTCATAACAACCCTGTCAGGTAAGTACTTTCGTGATGTTCCACATGAGAAGACTGAGAGGAACACACACTAGTCCCATGAGTGGAGCCAGAATTCTCAGCCACTGTTACGTTGCCCTCTTTTGGAATTATTTTTTCTGTTTAGTGGTAAGAACAATGATT